CTGCATGACCAGTAGAAAACAAGGGCTGGGCCCTTCCCAGTTATCTAGCATGCCACCACTTAGGACAAAACTGATACGGGTAACACGAATGGTTTTTAATGGGCGTAGTCAGGTTCACCAGCAATGATCACAGATTATCATGTGACCACATCATGTGACCACGCACGATTAACCCATTTTATAGACTAATGCTGATATGTTGAAAATACTGCAAAGTTTGCTCATGAACGGAAGTAATACATGCACAATACTCTATTTATAAATATATTGGGAAAACATGTTCAAAATACAGCGCGCCTCATACAGTAACAAGCAAGATTGGTTGTAGGCACACTGAACAAACCGGCTTGCTTGGGGCCTCCACTCAGGGAACTCACACATAAGCAAAACATACATTGTTTCTACTTCTAGTGGGCTTAGTCACTCTGTTATCTCAAAGTTTGTAGAGATAAGGATACTGGAGCTTGGAACATTGAATGTCATGTTTGCTAGGCTAGCCCAGCATAACAAGCACATAGTTTGATCGACATACAAACTATGAATAACCACGCGCGTGTGATACATCATTACTACACTTCGCAAAACTTACACGCAAAAACACTGCGCACTCCGCGGACTCAGTTGCCATCTCCTCGATATCAACAACAGCCGACTCTCACTATGAACAAAGCTTCCTTCAGCTGTCCGAGCGAATCGTACCAGGGCGGCCGACCCGCTGGTGTAGACTGTGTGTGTCGTCCTCATGACGGGTCTACCGTATCTGGGAGGCTTTAGACGTGCTCGCGGTTCTAACGCGTGTCGTCTGCCCAAAAAAAAACAAAAACAAAAAAAAAAAAAAAAACAAAAAAAAAAGAAAAAAAAAAAAAAAAAACAAAAAAACAAAACAAAAAAAAAAAAAAAAAAAAAAAAAAAGAAAAAAAAAAAAAAAAAAAAAAAAAAAAAAAACAAAAAAAAAAAAAAAAAAAAAAAAAAAAAAAAAAAGAAAAAAAAAAAAAAAAACAAAAAAAAGAAAAAAAAAAAAAAAAAAAAAAAAAAAAAAAAAAAAAAAAAAAAAAAAAAAAAAAACGAAAGAAATGAGAGGAATATTAGAAAAAAAAACAAACCACAAAAAGAAAAATAAAAAAAAGAAGAAAAACACAATAATACAAAACAAATGTGTGCAACGATCATCGTCGTCAGCGAATAATCGGCAGAACTGAAAATGCAGCAGAGGCAAAAACCCACGTTTACTCTATGGACCATTGTAGGTCACCACGATTCATAGATGAGAATTCAGGTCAGACAAGAATGTACCATCATGTTATGCCTATCCCTCCTCCGGAACCTCTCGGCCTGACTACACTGCTGCGGTAAACAGTACAACGTGCGACTACACCTCGTCTGGCTGTCACATACCAGGAAGTTTACTCCCGCGCCTATGAATGCATTGTTCTCTATCCCTACTGAACCAATGAGTTGTGCTTTGCAGCACCTTGCAGCGAATGAATTCCATCCAATCATAAGAACAAATTCTCCACTGAAGCACCGCCCTAGGCTCCGCTCTCATAAATGCCGGCGTAAATATTGTATCCTCGACACACCCTACCCCCAATCTTCCGAACCCAGTTCATTCGCAATATTCTTCACGTCGATGTATTCATTAGAATGCGAACTAAACAGTTACGCCAGCCAAAACCACTGTTGCGGTTGAAAAATACACTAGTGACGAAGTGCAGCTGTCAACAAGGAAATTTCAGAACAGGAAGACGTCCGAGATCACCGAATGGGCTCCGCGTCTCGCGAGAATCCCGCACTGTTCCTCAATGTGTTACTTGAAAGAATAGTGAGGAAGAGCGGCCCAGTGACCGTTGAAAAATCTCGGCATTTTGCGAAGCACCTACCAATTCTCGTATAGGGCGTGACGCTCGACACCACATTTTCCTGTGGGGGCGTTCTTCTCTGCCCACACGCGAAATGTTCTAGGAGTTCGATAAATAGTTGTGCGACGCAACAAGCAAGAAAATAACGCCGGTAATCCCACCTTCGATATTATCTTCTAGGTGCTAATACGTTGCTGTCCATCTATTCTCTCAAATTTACCGAGAATAATGTGGCGAGAGAAAACCAACGGTGTGAGTTTTAGTGCAAAGCATATCAAAATTGTTTTAGCGATACAAGAAATAAAATGCCGCTTCATCTCTTGCAGCGTCTGTTTGTGAAAAAATCGCAACGGAAATATAGATTGTCTGGCAGCTTGTCATTGTCAATATTAACCCAAGGAGCGTTCCGTCATAAATTACAGTGTGGGTCCCGCAAACTATTATCAAGCTAACAAGTGAGACCAGTTCTTGGAATAACTACAGTTGCTCTTTCCAGATTCTTAAAACGCGAGGCATACGTAACAGTCCTTTAAGACGCTGCGTGAACATTAAGAGCGCGCGTGATCGTTTACACGAGATCACAGGCTCGTGATCGGAGCGTTTCTTTAAAATTATAATGCCCTAAAAAATATACGATGATATATTAGCTACCAAGAGTCTTAAATGTTTCTATACTCTGTTCACCTATTATTGCCGACAATTTTCTGCAAAATGCCAGTCAAATGCCTCATCTGCAAACAATGACATTGAACCAACTCTGGGCTCGCGCCATTGGCTGCCGGCATGCCCGACACTGTACGTCAAGATATATGTTCATATATTGGAATACCTTTCTCCGCTTATTAGTTTATGTTACGGTCTCAGTGATTTGCAGTCGGTCAGCACACATTTGGCGGGAATTCTAGCCAGTGGTAGCGTTTGGTTTCAACTTGTTGCAGGATTGAGCATCTTGGACGGTTTTTGCAAGACAATTGTGCGGCAATAATGAGTGTGTGAGAGAGTAGAGAAGACATCTAAGACATTGCGTAGTAAAATAATTTATCACCTATGTTTAATGGTTAAATAGACATCTATATAAAGTCTTTATATATTGTTAACACGATTCAATAAACAGTCCTAGTGCTGGTCAGGAAATTACGTATTTTATAGCTCCGAACTCTTGCGATGTTCGTCGTTTCAGGCGCGATGGCGCCGCTAATGTACATGTGCCGCTCAAACTACGAGGCCGCCGTTAAAATCGGGGGACCACTGTACGGCATTGACCACCGCTAGAGACGTGCCATTAAGGAGATGATACATGTACTTGCTGTCTTCATTATATACGTATTACAAACGAGTTGGGATTTACTGTAAGTGGTCTGTGACAGGTTACCTGCCATTGATTACTGGTGTAGGGAGTGGTAAAAGAAAGATTGTATATGTGAAATGATCGCGATGGAATGCCACAATCCGCCATATAATGCCAGAGCCTGGAAAAAACGCTCCATATCCTCAAACAGGAAAAAACGTGTCGGCTGTAAGGTTGTTTCGATGCTTCTTTTTCGTGAGCCAGACGGCAGTCTAGAATGAGCGCGTGAATGGCCCAAAATTATTCATACGCTTTTATCGGCTTGGTGGCGCATTTCATTGTATACAAGAAATTTTTCGGCCATCTTTGTTCTGTTGGGTTCGAATTTTCTGATAACATACTTCGATTCGGTAGTAAATTATTATGCGCATCTAACTAATCATGAGGCTATAGTTAAAGCTTTAGAATCATTAATACATGATAAAGATATGTCATTACATGTGTGTTCCTATGTTTGATCATAATCGCCATGGCGTCCAACTTTACGCCTGGCTGAATGAGTAAACTGTTAATCGGAAATGTTCGATATGTCAAGGACTATCACCGCTCGCGTGAATAAATTAAAAAAACCCCAAGTAAGCCTGTAATACTGCTAGGTTTAATAAGTCTCACCACAACTTCATATTCTCAGACTTTTATGTTGTATAGCTTAACGCTGGATATTGTCAAATCAAGTTTAGCTTATTAGTTGATGTAAACAAATGATTTACTTGTATTCATCCGGTATAGATGCTCGTATAGACCAAGAAATTCATTCCTTTCGAGGGACTGAATTACATTGTTGAAAAGTAGTCAACAAGTAGGGATCTTTATCTCGCTATCATATGTATTCCACACTCTACTTCCACCTTGGTGTGAGACTCTTTGTAACATAAATGTGTAGATAAGACCTATACGTTACGTTAACCTAGCTATCTTGAGTATAAATATAAGTACATGTAGTACAATAATACAATTTAATTCAAGGTATAAATTCATTTTGTTACATGAACTAGCAGGGGGGCAGGGGGTAGCTGCCCCCCGCCAAAAAAAGAACCCAGTGAAGCAGGGCTCTCAAGGGGTAGCTTTAAAAATGAGTGAGATTTATTTTGAATCAGAAAATCTACGGCCGCAGGCACGAAGGGGGTTTAATTTGGATTAAATTAGCTTTAAACTCACCTAGATTTTCCGAGATTCCAGCAGGCTTCGCGCCCGGCCAACACTGCTGAAGGCTATTTATAGTAACGCGTGACATCAGATTAGCATAATCAGTCGCTGGTTGCGCCACTAGACCCACTCCACACAACAAAGAAAAACTGGATTCTTGCAATTGAGTGAGATTTTCGGGGACTATCAGGAATGTGCGTGAGAGCATGAGATTGTGCTGAATTGCGTGAGTCTGTCGCCAAATGCGTGAGGCTTGTGAGCCCTGGTGAAGAATAATGGGAACACAAATAACATAACAATTTACAGTTGATTGATATTGACGTTTTTAGTATGTAACATATGGTTACCTACCTGAAATGGCTGGAAATGGCATTTCAGAGCTTCTACTTTTCACATTTTCATGGCCCCCAGACCCCCCTAGAAGCGAGCGCCTCAGGCGCTCGTTCATCTTGCCCCCCCCCCACATACATTAATTCCTAGCTACGGCCCTGTGATAGCACCCCTTCTGGGCAAGTACGCTCGTGCAGCAACTCCACTAGTCGTTAATCGTTAAGTTAGTGATGAGCTTAGGGTAGGGGCCAGAGATGCCAACCACTACAATTTATTCGTATTTTATACGAATTTCTATTCCTTTTGCACCACTACGACCAGTTTGTATCAAACTACAAATTTCACTGTAATCGAAAAAAAAAAATTTGGTTTGGTCAATTATTGTCATTTTTTGGTCTATTTATTGTCATTTTTGACCCTCAGAATGCAGGAAATTTCTTCTCAGAATCAAAAATTTTTCCGGGGAGCATGCCGGACCCCCCTAGCAAACTGGGGTCACGTACCGAACTACTAATTTGATGGCCAGAAACTACAGATTGCTTCAAATATGTGTTGGCATCTCTGGTAGGGGCTGAGATTATGATATTGATAATAATGACGTTGGTGGCGTGTTGACTGTTGTTATTGTTTTTTAGTGACAGTATTGAGTCCCCTCGGCTTCGCTGCCGTCCCTGATTTTGTGATCTTATCTACTTGGTAACTGTAGATCTAATTGAATATATTTGAACATAATTATCTGTTTCAGCCACGAAAATCGAAACCATTCATAGATAAGAAGAAGGCTGTTACATTCACCCTTGTCCATCGAAGTCAGAAGGATCCCCTGCAAGCAGATGATACAGCGGGTCAACATGTGTTACTCCAAGGAGCGCCGAGAGAGGCAAACGTGGTGCGTGATGGCAAATGCCAGATAGCAATAAAAAATGTATTGTCTAAGCTCTTGCGCTGAGACAGTATATATAAGCTCTGTACAAAATTTTGTTTTGTTGAAGTAAAAAACCTGCTGGTGTCCCCTACATGGGATACAGTGACAAGGTAGTGCACGTGCTGAAAGCTAACTAGCTCTGTAGATGTGAAGTTGAGGTCTCATTCACTAGAGTCGGCGCTATGGACACTGAGCTTGGTCGCAGCCTGAGTGTATTTGCATCCACAGTTGGTCTTTTACGTTCCCATAATGTTGGGGACGGACCCTCCACTTTACACAACCATCCGAGCCATAAGTGACTGAGCGGCCCCAATGTCAGGAGCCTGATTTTCATACTTTGAGTAATTCCACTGCCGTAGGCAGGGTGTGAACTCATAGTCTTCGCAGTGAAAGGTGGCCATGCTAACGACCTGACCTCTAGTTGATAGACCTCTATATCCTGTTATATATTATTTGTTGATATATTGATTGTACGTATACTGATCTGTAACATGAGTTGCAACACTTACGTAGGATGAAAAGAAGTTGGAAGAACAACGCAAATTCGGAGTGTTTTTCGAAGACAACTATAACTATCTACAACACCTCCGGGACGCCGACGAGGTAGTCTCCCTCGAACCCGTTGGCCAATCTACCGTTGGTGGACAACGGTTAACTAAAGACTCGGCGTGTGCCACAGACAAAGATGCTGACCAGTAGAAAACAAGGGCTGGGCCCTTCCCAGTTATCTAGCATGCCACACTTAGGACAAAACTGATACGGTAACACGAATGGTTTTTAATGGGCGTAGTCAGGTTCACCAGCATGTTCACAGATTAACATGTGTCCACATCATGTGACCACGCACGATTAACCCATTTTATAGACTAATGCTGAATATGTTGAAAATACTGCAAAGTTTGCTCATGAACGGAAAGTAATACATGCACAATACTCTATTTATAAAATATATTGGAAAACATGTTCAAAATACAGCGCGCCTCATACAGTAACAAGCAAGATTGGTTGTAGGGCACATTGAACAAACCGGCTGCTTGGGGCCTCCACTTCAGGGAACTCACACATAAGCAAACATACATTGTTTCTACTTCTAGTGGGCTTAGTCACTCTGTTATCTCAAAAGTTTTGAGAGATAAGGATACTGGAGCTTGGAACATTGAATGTCATGTTTGCTAGGGCTACTAGCCCAGCATACAAGCACATAGTTTGATCGACATACAAACTATGAATAACACGCGCGTGTGATACATCATTTACTACACTTCGCAAAACTTACACGCAAAAACACTGCGCACTCCGCGACTCAGTTGCCATCTCTCGACTATCAACAACAGCCGACTCTCACCTATGACGAAAGCTTCCTTCAGCTGTCCGAGCGAATCGTACCAGGGAGGCCGACCCGCGGTATAGATCGTTCTGTGTGTCGTCCTCATGACGGGGTCTACCGTATCTGGAGAGGCTTTAGACGTGCTCGCGGTTCTAACGCGTGTCCGTCTGCCACCGGGCGACCGACCAGCTGGAGGTTTGGCAGCACTGGCGCTATCTTGTGTGCCAACGATCACGTCACAATCATCGGCAGAACTGAAAATGCAGCATAGCCATAGGAAACACAGTTACTTATGACCATGTAGGTTCACCAGATTCATAGATTGAGAATTCAGGTCAGACAGAATGACCATCATTGGTATGCCTATCCTTGGTAATCTGGCTGACCTACACTGCTGGTAACAGTACAGTGACTACACTGTGCTGTACATACAGGAAGTTACTCCCGCGCCTATGAATGATTGTTCTCTATCCTTGAACCAATGAGTGTGCTTGCCAGCACTGCAGCAGATGAATTCATAATCATAGAAACAATTCCACTGAAGCAGCTAGGCTAAGTTATAAATGAGGTAAATATGTTATCCTGACAAACCTACCCCCAATCTTCCAAACCATTTTCATCCTCCACATATTCTTCGTCAGATGTATTCATTTAGGAAGAGAACTAAACAGTTACGCCAGCAAATGTGCCGGTTGAAAAATACACATGAGTGCAGCTGTCAACAAGGAAATACAGAAGCGTTCCGAATCACCGAATGGGCCTCGCGTCTCGCGAGATCCCGATGTTCCTCAATGTACTTGAAGAGCGGCAGTGACGTTGAAAAATCTCGCGATTTTCGACCTAACAATTTCTCGTATAGGGGTGGACGCTCGACACCACATTTTCGTGGGCGTTCTTCTCTGCCCACACGCGAATGTTCTGGAGTTTCGTAAATAGTTGTGCGATCGAACAAGCAGAAAATTAAGCGCATAATCGCACTTATAGTGAAACGTTGCTCATTTACTTTATATTAGTCATTTCGATTGTGAACAACACAAACCAGGCTAAACCAGGCTGCTTTTAAGACGCTGTGAACATAAGAAGCGCGATTACATTGGCCTTGAAGCAGCAGATCGATGCTTCTCCGCTTTTGACACTAGCATTTCTAATTGAATTTACCGCGTGATCATAGAGGAATAATCAATAAACTTTTACATAAACAAGTACTAATACTATATAAGTCATTTCGTGCAGAGTAAGTGCTCAAACTACGCATATGAACGTAGAATTACCTGTCTGATTCAGCAGAGCTGGGTGGGTTGACTGGAACATCCGCCATTGCAGAGCTGAAAAAACCGTGTGTAAGGTTTCATGCTTCCATTTTGGGAATCAAGGCCAATTTCCGTTTCGGTTTCGCATTTCATTCGATTTCGCATTTCTGTTTCGATTTCGATTTCATTCGGTTTCGCATTCATGATCGAATAGATCATTAATAAATGAAAGTAAAGTATATGTCTTTTTGAATGGCGCTGAATATAATGTTTTATTGTCGTTAGCAAACGTGACAGTTGGACCAAGAAATTCATTCATTCGAGGAGCTGTGCGTCTGAGAACAATATATCCACAATTAATGTATTGCATCTAATTGTGATCAACTGTGAAACAATCAAACAATCGAGCGATTTACTAATAGAGGCATGAACTTGTCGATATAACAATGTGTTTTGGCAGCGTGATGACAGGCCAAGCAATTAAGTTAATTTCAATTTAAACTATAATTTAGAAAAATGATTAGAAAAATGACAACTGAATCTATATTATTCTAATGTATTCTGTGAATTATGCTAACACAGATCTAATTGATTAACACTGAAACTGAAGCAACTTTGATAAGTGTAACGCAGTTGCCCAATGAGGATTACACATCATAATTGGAATCAAGCGCATATAAAAAATTATGCCAACTTCAAAGATATATACAAACACTTTTTATATTCTTATGCGGATATATGCTAGCTAATATCCTAACTATAGACCATGTACTATAACAAGGGCCTTACCCTGGAACAACCTGCAACTTAGTTCCCTTAATTTTTTCCCTCTAAATTAACGTGACTTTGACAGTTTTATGGCTACATATATGACTATATGAGGGATATGGTATATTGGCCTAGCCGTAGAAATAATTAATTAATATACTAGTCAGACTAACTTTATATATATTTGTGTCTCTATATATTATGCTATGTATCTATATACATATTTCCAAGAGCTAATAATAAGGTATTATTAGCTCTTGATATTTCTGTACTCTGTATTCTCATAGGTATCTATATGGTCGTAGCGTGTGTGTGCGGGGGTGTGTGTGTGGTGGTGGTGGTGGGGGAGGGGTAAATTAAGCAATGCTACGATACATAACGATACTACGTGGCAGCAGCATAGACTGGTACTTGGTCCCACATCTCGGCTTAGTTACTCGATGGGGGTAACCATCGAGTAATCGAGGTGGGAGCGAGTACTAGTCTAGCAGCAGTGTGGCAGCAGTATCGGTATCGCGACTTGAAAAGCATTAGTTTGTGAACGTCACGTGTGGAACCTTCAATTTACGTATTTCTTTGATTCTATTTCACCTACAGCATTTTATTGGAACATTATGGTATGGGGAAATGGTTATTTATGTCAGATATTAGTATTTACCCATGTAGAGGGTTTTAGATTACGTTTGCTTAAGTAATAAAATTGCATTGCAAAACGCATGTTGTCACGTCTATGGCTCTGCCTCTACTGCTCTAGTAGTACTAGTAGTACTATAGTCTATAGCCCAACGCGGCCTATAGGCTATAGTACTACTACTAGTACTACTAGAGCAGTAGAGGCACAGAGCCATGGACGTGACAACATGCGTTTTGCAATGCAATTTTATTACTTAAGCAAACGTAATCTAAAACCCTCTACATGGGTAAATACTAATATCTGACATAAATAACCATTTCCCCATACC